TGGTGTGCCCCGCTACAGTGCATATCACACTGAAGTATACCAAATCATAATATACCAAACAGTATTATGTGGTGTGCTCTGCTAACCAAATTTATACAGATTAATAACTTACTCAATTTTCACATCTAAAGTGCTAAAAACTGCTACCATTTGGAGGGAACCAAGCATGCTGTGGCTCCAAACCTAAATGATCAAGCAGCCAGGGATGAAACTGCCATTCTGTCAGTCCAGCGTTGTCAGATGGAGTGTCACTTGACCACTGCTGCCAAGCTAAAGAATATCCTGCCAAATGTGTTGCTTTTTTAAACCTTTCTGAGAGGGAATTCTACTTATTATGGGTGTACTATTCTACTCATGTGAACACAACCAACAAATACACTCTGACAATGCCAGCTATCTTTAAATACTGCATCTGAATGACTAAAATTGATGCTCAGGAAAGGTGTGATGAATTTTGGCTTTGATGCACTTGGTAACCAGTTTGGGACTCCATGTGTTTGTGGTTTGTGATGACCACATCATAAAACCATCCATCTATTTTCCATAACTGCTTGTGATATTCAGTGCCCCGGAGGTCTAGAGCCTACAGACACAAGGAAAAACCCAGGATGGGGCTCCAACCCATTACAGGCCATTCACACAGCATTTTAGTTATGGGCAATTTAGTAACTCTAGTGAACCTCAGCATGTTGTTGGACTGTGGGGGGGGAAACTAGAGTAACAAGAGGAAACCAACCGATGACACAGGGAGAGCAAGCAAACTCTGCAAACATGGATCCCTGGCCGACTATAACCCTGCTAACCACTGTGTCACCGTGCTGCCACAGTCATGCATTTAAACATTTAATTTAAGCACCAGGGAAAGACAATCATCCAACAACTTTTCTTATTGCATGGTGCAATCAACAGCAGCTATGGGAGTTGTCTATACTGGTGGGCAGTGCACACAACATTAATACATAGTACTGTAAACTTATTTCAAGGAAACAATGATGTGATATGCACAACCATATTATACCTATTTGCTGGGGCTATGCATAATTCATATTCAGCTGGTGATTTTTGCCAACAAGACTTGCAGGTTACGAGCATGATTAAAAAGTAGTTCTATAGCTTAATTTAAAAAAACACATTAAACCAAACGACTGCAGGAAATATGCAAGCATTTCCTAAAACCTGAAGAACAGCATACATCCCTCTATGTTTAATCTGTATCACCTGACAACGCAAACTGGTTCAAAACTTTTATTGAATTGTCAAAATACATACTATATCTTGTGCCTCGGTCAGTGGTATGTAAGTTAATTATGTCACTTCTATGTAATAAATGCGGCAATTCAGGGCTCCATACTAACTTTTTCCATTAGTAGCAGGTGATTTTATGGAAATTTTAGGAGCACCACTTAAATAGACATGCAATGCAACACATTCATATTTTTCCCATTTTAACTGTATTACTGATAAATTCTTTAGTAATAAGCAAATTACAGATGTAAAATTGTGATGTATTTTTTTTAACAGAAAAAGTCTGTAATACCTTGAGAGAAAAACAACAACATTAATTTAATGGTAAAAAGTTCATTCCATTGTCACCAAAAGGCCAAGCGAGAGTGAACGTATTTAAGGACATTCCCACATATTCCCTACCACAACGTATGTAAGATGACATTCTGCACAGAATTGTCCCCAAAGCATGTTGTTATGATGATGACATGCATTAGCTCTACACTGTAATCACCCTCCTTCTCCCTCACACACACACCATTAGGGTGAGGTATTATTTGGATTTTAAGCAATTCCAAATCTGATTACAATTCTGCACATTAAATATGGTTCTTATCGATTCTAGATTCAATTTATAATACAGTAAAAAATGTTTTGTTATTGAAATACTGCATTAATTCTCTCACAACAAAAGTTAATTGAAGCAGTTATGTCATTTCCATATATTCTTAAAACAAAAAGTGTCAAAATAATACAAACGACCAGACTCTGAATCTTGGATGTCAATTTGCCGCTGTCAGAATATTTTACATTTCTGTTTAATCTGTCTAAACTGGGTAGTACACAGGTCCAGTTTTAATAATGTGTAAACTGTAAATAAGTTTGGTTTTATTCATAACGCAGCATAATGTCAGAGGGTACATAAAGCCAAATTAATGAAACAATGGCAGAATGAATGCATTTCCCTCCATAGCTGTGCATTAAAAAATGTACAATACCCACTTAAACCACGGTTATTACACATCTGACTTACACGTCTGTACATAAAACTGGCCTTTGGGTTTTCTGAATTAAGGACTGGCTTACGTTCTCAGTAACAGAGTATTTTCAAATTAGAAATGGTGGCTTGGGTCAAAATACTTAATAGAAGTAGGCGATATTTAATGTTTTATATTGTCCAGATATTACATATAGATATACAGTATTTCAACTATTTTAAAATGCAACAATATTCTGATGTTTTGAAATACATAAATTGAGTACAAATGTGTAAGCAGAATTTTCATGCATTATCCCGGACATAATTGACAAAAAACACGCATGCAAGAAATGATACTAGGAACCATAATTCAAATGTCATACTGAATTCCCGGTTCTTCAAATCTAAGAACTAATAGGGCTGTCACTATAACAATAATTCAGTAATCTTCTGATTAATCTGAAGATTCATTGAGTAATCATGTATAATATACTGTACATTACAATTGGCGCACAGTCATACACGCGGTCAATTTAGGCAATCCTTTAAGTTGCATGTTTTTGTTAGTGTTTTTGTGACATCTTGTATTGCTTTGATTTACAACTGATTTTTTTTCCTCACTTCATAAAAATATCGAGATATATATAACCATTTAGCCAAAATACATCGATATAATTATTCGTAAATATCGTTCAACCATAGTTTAAGCAGCTATTTTGACATACGGGAATTGTAAAGAGCAAATCAGGCAAAATAAGTTACAGTGGCTGACAAAGGAAGACTAGGCTATTTTGATGGCACGCATCAACGGCTAACCTCCTGAGTCCGTCAAACCTGAATATCTTCTTTTAAGATGTATTTGCATTGTAGTCGTGCTGTGGAGATATTTAAGTTCTGCTTTGCAATACTGACAGACGACTCCATTCTCATTGACTTTCAATGTAAAGAACTTCCACGCAAATTTAGAGATTGTCGTTGTTGACAGTGCTTGTTGACACACCACAGCACACAGTGCACAACAACGAAATGTGTTCTCTGCATTTAACCCATATGTGACAATGTGACAGCAGGGGGCAGCTAATTCAGCGCCCTGGGAGCAGTGCTTGGGGGCGGTACCTTGCTCAGGGTATCTCAGTGGGGCCTTGCTGGTTGGGGATTCGAACCTGCAATCTTTCAATTACGAGTGCGCTTCCCTAAACATTAAGCCACCAAAAGATGCTTTCACTTTTTATTTGGACCTTCATCCTCTATGCGTCGTCTTCCTTCCACCATATTGCCAAATTTTAAGATGCTTTTTAATGACAGCTTCAGTTTGTAATTGGGGACTGGTTTCAGTACCCAACCCTACACACCAATCTTCGCTCCCTCCTGGTGTTTCACGAGATATGCGACAACGGGTTTAAAAATAAAAATGGCAAGTCGCACTGGAGCGCCTAGTTATAAAACTCAGTCGTACTGTCTACAAAAATAGTTGACTAAATGGTCGCAGACTGAAGCGCTGCAACTGATAAGCCGAAGCACTGCTGCAGTTTGAGAATAATGTTAATGTGACAAGGACACCATGGCAGGCAAAACTTCCAGCTTCGTCAAAGGAATTTGCTGGCATACGACAAGGACACCCAAAAAAAAAAGAAATTTATTTGGATAAAATGACGTACTTTGAGACAGACTACAAATATTAGTCACTGCCAAGGGATGTTCTTTACACTCTCAAATACTATTCCCCATCCGCCCCCCCCCCTCCTTAAAAAAATCGCCACTTCCAAGTAGTCACCATTTTCCATAAAACATTAAACATGAATGTCTGGTGTCAAATCTAAAATACAACGGAAATTCCATTAAAAGTCATTCAATCTGTAGACAGCAATCCCTAGACTTATGCATATCAGAATCGTAATATAGTACTGGAAGTCAGTAGCAGTTCCAAAGCATATCAATGTTGTGCTACTGAAATGCCCTCGTTGCCCACGCCAAAGAAAAACATACAGGTGGTCCCTCGGTAACTGCGCTGCAAACCGCAACTATGCAAAAACTGATCTACAGGCAACTGATCTAACCTCGCATTGCGCGCCGGTATCTCCAGGCGTGCAAAAAAGGCATGGTTTGAAATGTAACGCTTTCAAGACAAAAAAAAAAGCTGCCAGATTTCTCTGAGCTAGCCCTACGCTAGCACCTGCGGTTATGATAATACACCATATTTTCACTTCACGTCATGCATCCCCAGTGGCTTTAATCTGGAGTTTTCACGACTGCACAATGATCCAGAAGCCATTCGCTGGCCTTGTTGTATTAAAAGCACGTCGTTGCATGCCAAAGGAAGCTCAGTTCCCGGGCACAACGTCTTAAAAAGCATCAGGTACCCAGTCTGATTCGCTAGTTATCAAGCTTGCACGCTGCACATCTCGCGTGCAGGGCCTCGCGCGGAAGGGCCGGCACCCTCAAACGGCTAGCGATTACTCCGTCTCGGCAGTTTCAAATGTTTAATTACGCTGCAAAGCAACAGCTGCTATTCCGAGTGGTGGTTTAAAGTCGTGGTCGTCGCGTTTGCTCCGAAGTGTTGTACAGTGCCGTAGATAGTTCGGAGAAAAGCCGACGCGTGGGATCGAGGGGTAACCCAGCCTTAACTCGTGCCTGACTGGAGTCCACGCTGGTTAATTAGCTCCGATGGTAATGTGCGTACCCATCCTGAGGCTACTTCCCTGCCACATTGCTGATTTACATGGGAAGGTTGCTTTTCTTTTTCGTCTTTAATAGAAGCGACTTTCTCCCGAAGCGCCTTGACGAGATGCCCACTTACCCTGGCTTTCTCCAGGGGAGTGAATCGCAAGTCGTGCACAAAGGGGTTCCTGAACGGAGGAGCCAGCTCTTCCTGCCCACGTCCATCCGCCGCCAAGGACCGTGCGTTTTTCCGTAACCTCATGCTGAACAAGCCCGGGGGACAATACGTATAAAATAAAAACACGTCCCGGCACCTCCGTCTGACGGCCCAATCTACCGCTGCAAAGTCGCCTCAAAGGTTTTGTTGGCTTCGGGGTTGGGGCGCCGAGGGATTAGCCGAGGATCGCGTCCGAGTAGCGGACGGGGCTGCTTCTCTCTCGGTCTCGGCGCTCGTCCGCCTCACTGTATCTTTCCACTGTACCGAAGACAAATAGGATCCGCGAGCCTGCCTCGGTGTGAGCATGCGCCTACGGCTCTGACGCTGACATCACGGCGTCCTCGGGATGATGAGCGCCGTGCGAAGCTTGTGCTGGCGGCGCCGGGAGCGTCGTGCTGTCTGTGCAGCTGTAATTGTCACCGGCCAGTCACTGGAGCAGTGGCGAGCTGCAAAGTTATATATTGAAATAATGTTTTAAACGGTCGTCTTAATATTTTACGAAGGTCCCTGAAGTTCCGCGGATTAATGTTCATCTGTGGCGAAGCTCGTAGTACTAGTTAGAGCTGCGTCGTGTTATCAAAGTTTTCAGCCTTTATTGTTCATCAGAGAAAGGGATATCTTTCTTTCATAGTAATATCTCTGTGCTAATGTCTTTTTCAAATATGAAACCGTGAAAGACTGGTTGCTTATGTAGGTTTGCCGTCTTTCAGCATTCTTTTTTTTCGGGTCAGGTACACTTTAAAACATTAGAACAGATTTGATTTGATTAGATTCAATTGAATTGTCATTGCGCGAAGTACAAGTACAGTATTCTGACTACGAAATGCAGGTTGGCATCAAATCCGAAAGTGTACAATAGTGCAAAAGCGTAGAAACAACTGTGCAATATATACACGTATGAAAAATAAATAGAAAAATATGCATTCGTACAGGGGTATACATGGTGTAATTGGAATAAGTTTTCTTACCACGAATGTGAGGTAACCATAACAACTAATTAACCGCACATTGCCAAGTGCCTGGAGGTGACAAAAGGCCTTATACAGTACACAGTCAAAAAAAGTGTACTAATTTGTACCTTTGCTTGTCACTGGGGCTGTACCCTCAAGGGTCCGCCAATCATACCCTTAGCTGTAGGTAAATACAGCCCCACTGGGGTACAGCCCCAGTAACAAGCAAATGTACAAATTGGTACTCATTTTTCTGATAGTGTATAAGTGTGAACTGAATAAAATGTTAATCAGGGTAAGAAGTGGAAAGTTGAGGGAAAAAATTACAAAATAATAATAATTAAACATAACTTTAAAACATAACCGACAGCTATTTTTATATACATTTTCCATTTTATGACACAACGTGTTTTATGGACAAAAGTATTATAGAGAGTTAATTTACAATCTAGATACAGTTCTGTGGCCAGTACTGTGATTTCACAAGCCTCTGATCCTAACTATCCTTGTATTTTTATGGGTTTCTACCAGGTACTCAAATATCCTACAGTCCAAAGACATGGCTTAGCATGACTGGTGTCTAATTTATCTGTAGTATCTCCTCTGCTTCTTGGGCTGGGCTTCAGGCTTACTGCCACCTTGCAATGGATATGTATTTATTGGGGGACAAGTTATCATCTAGACATCTACAAAAAGATTTTAAAAGGGGCCACTGAGGCTCCTTGAGTAAGGTACCGCCCCCACACATATAATGTCGAGCCACTGCTCCCGGGCACTAAATTAGTTGCCCACTGCTATATGACATATGGGTTAAATACAGAGGACAAATTTTATTCTTGTGGTGTGTCAACAATGTTTATGTTTCACCCAATTTACAACATTAACTCTTTTTCCCCATTGTTCATCAAGTAAAACCTCTGACAGTCGTTCAGCAAATGGGGAAGCCATCTTTAATGGCTGTAAATAAAATCCAAACCACAAGTAATCAAATTAAAATTAAAGGTAGGCTGTCCATCAGTTTCTGCTGTACGTCGATTGATCAAAGCCTCATTGTAAATAAGACTGGCCGTACAGTGTGCTTGGCCTAAAAAAAAAACAAAACAGAATGAACCTGGACAGATAAATGAATGCTGGATCGCTGTATAACAGGCTGGGTAAAATGACAAGGGTTCCACACTGGCAGGAACATGGTCTGTAGCCCAACTTACTGTTTTATAGGAGTGTTTCTTTTGGGTTACGGTTCCACCAAGAAGTACTTAAATATTTAACCTATATAATGTCCCTTCCTTCAACCATTTCCCATAACCACATACTCAGTAGAGGGACCCTGGAGTCTATTCTAGGAAGCATAGGGCACAAGACAGGAGACATCCGAAATGGGATTCCAGCCCTCTGCAGCTCACACGCTAAAACACACACCCACACACCATAGCACTTTTGAGGCACCAGTTTACCTAACAACTTGTTTTTGGACTGTCTGGGGAAAACAGTACCGGTACCAACCAGCTAGAGTTCAATGGGAGCACGCAAATGTCACACTGAAAATGGCATCCTGAGGTGTGAGGCTACAATGTTACACCTTGCTAATCAATGAGCCATTGCACCACTCACCAATATACTAATGGAGAGTAAATTAATGCGTGTGATTCATGTATTTTGCCAGCCACCCAAGATGAGGGTGCTAAAACAGTGGCAATTAGTTACAAAAAATCCATCCATCCATTTTCCAACCTGCTTATCCTACTGGGTCGCAGGGGGTCCGGAGCCTATCCCGGAAGCAATGGGCACGAGGCAGGGAACAGCCCTGGATGGGGGGCCAGCCCATTGCAGGGCAAGTTACAAAAAATAAATAACAAAAATAACATACTAATATCAAATGTTGTGTTTTACAGTTGAATGACTTGTTTTATAAATGCCCCTGTCATTTGTCTATGCCCAACATCTACGAAAAATATCAAAGAAATGTGTCTGAATCGCAGTTTAACTGTGTAGTTGTGTTAAAATGACTAGACAGACTGTGAGTACAAATGAGAAAAAAATGGATAAATAATTCAATAAATAAATAATTGAAAGCATCAATAAATAATTTAAAGAAATAAACCCAACATACAAATATAATCATGTAGAAAACTGACCATGGGTAGCTCTCAAGAAAGAGACACCCAAAGAAATTATTCAGATAGAAAAGCCTGTATGAGCTGGGAAACCATTAGATAATTATATATCAATGCATATATAATATAATATAATATAAAGGCCAAAACTCATAACAAATAAATCAAAAATAATTACTTTGCAACTGAAATAGCATTTGTAATATGAGCACTACATTCAACAGATAAGTATCTTATCTACCTTCACTTTTTCATAGTCACTCCCTATTGTAATTTATCTTTTACATCCTTACTTTAATGCAGGTATCAGTTCTACTGGCGAACAATCTGCATCTATGGCTTTAAGTTCCAGGCCAAGTCCTACAGTAAGTGTTAAGTAAGACTGATTAAATTGCATTGCACATGGTTAATGAGCCAAGATGGAATGCGGACAAGTAATGACACGATAAGTGATAACGATGTGTGTGTCATTCAGATCAAAGGGAGAGGAGACCTACGAGCTGGACGGTGTGCAGTGCAAAAACCCTGACAACAATCTATATGGGGGACCGTATTGGGGGCTCAGCGTAAATGCAGGGACGCTGCCTGTGGGCTGACCCTGTACTGTGGCCCCAAGCTTCTCCGGCCTGTATGTCCGCCTGCGTTTCTCATGGAGAGCAAGATGGAGTAGGAGAAAAGAGAATTTCCCTGCAGGGCTTAATTCAGTTTTTCTATTGTATTGTATATTTTAGATATATAGACTAAAAAATCCTTTTCAGAAGCGGGAAAATAATAAAAAAATAAAACCATAGACATGGGAAAGACCCCGGAGTAGGATTCGGTCCAGTCTCACAAACCAATTTCCTCATGCTGTTTCTTTTTACATAATAAAATATGGCTGTTAATTATAAAAAAGATGCTCAAGCTCTTGTGATCCAAATGAGTAAATCAGACGACTCGCTGTGAAAGGTAAGCACAGCTACAGGAGACAGGCTTTATGCTGGATGAATGCATGCTTGCAGTGCCTATCTAAATGCAGTGATGGATATATTTGTTTCACAATTTTAATATTCACTTCTTGCACTTCTTTCTATATTAAATGTCATCATTCTGCCTCAACTTGTCCGTCAGAATATATAAATGATCCAAGCAGGGTAGCTCCAAGCATTTCCACATGGCTCAATCTTGTCTTTTATCAAGTATTATTAATGTCAGTGCTTGCTGAATGTTTTGTCTGTTAAGACAAGCCTTGGGGTTTGTTTTCTTACCATGAGTGTGAGGTAACCATAATTTCACTGACTGAAACTGAGACTGAGATGCATGGTGGACCACTGGATGGCGCTATTGCCTCCCCCCTCTGGGACCTTGCTTTGAGTCCCCGCCATGGCTCCATGGAAGTGCGGTTTGCATGCTCTCTCTTTGTGGTCAGGGGGTTTCCTTCGCATATTCTGATGTCCTCTCACAGTCCAAAGGTTAATTTGTGTTGTGAAAGTGCGAGTGTCCAATGTTGTTTCCTAGCTTGCCCCCATAAATTCTGGGATAGGCTCTGGACCCCCCTGCAACCTTGAACTGGACAAGGCAGTTAAAGAAAATAGATGGATGGAAACTGTGACCATGTAATTAGACTGCTGTGTTATTGTTTCAATGCTGGGGAGGGATGGTTCAGTGGGTCATGGTGACGTGCCTGCGATGCAATGGCTGCCGGTACAGATGTAAGTAATAATAACTTTATTTATGTGGCACCTTATGTGGCATGCTACTCAAAGTGCTTTACAGAGAGTGCAAATAACAAGTAATAAAAAAATAAAAATAGAATCAAAATAAAAAATAATTAAAAGTTTGATGTTTATGCTTTTGGGGTTGGGGGGGGGCGGGGGTTGCGTCTCACATCGTATCTGATGCGCACACAGCCGATTGTTCTGTCTACTTATAGGGTACCAACAAACTTCTTATGCAAAAGTGCAAAGTGTCAACGCAGAATCTGTAGAAAGCTGGTCTTGCCAATCAATTGCAATTTCGACTCAGAACCACTTATGGGTACAGATTGGTAAAGTGATTTCACCATTGACATAAACCCATATTTCTGAACTGGTACATCTGACCATGCTTTCTGTAAAAAAATGATGTCACTTTGGAAAAAAAACAATCTGTTATATAAATAAAATGGTCCATCGTGGTTCTGGTTGGTCCAGCATTTCTACATTTTGTTCTGTGCTTAAAATTCCATTCCAGATAGTAAATATGCACTAATTTTGCATGTAGTTACCTACCTGGCACTTTTGTCAGCAAATTACAACTTTGCTCTTCTATTCTAATTTTTAGCTGACACTCTTAGCTGAAGCGATGTAGATTTGAGAAGGCAGGGACAGAGAGTCCCTGGAGCAATTTGGGCCCTCGCTCTCGGTCCTAAATCTGCCAACTCTGGGATTTGAGCT